GGTCGGAGGAAGGTAGTTCTAAACCTCACTTTTTGAAAATCAGACTGTGCAGTCAATTGCCTCTTTGAATGAACTAATTAATAGTTGCATTTAGCTACCTCTAGTTCCGCTAGAAATCGCTACGCAATCTATTCATTACCAGGTGTGTTTTTCCTGGTCATATTTCAAAACAGTGCTAACTCCGCGTTTTAACATGGATGATGGCTGCAGTAATCAGTAGTGTTAAAAGAGAACGGTTTTAATGATGATGGTGATGATTGGGGGACGGATATTAATGAAATGTCATTTTTTCTTTTCACTTTAGAACATTGCCGTTTAGTATAGAAATTCATTTTATGTTATGACGAAGGAAATGACCAATTTTATATGAGATTTTTCGTTTATTTTGACCGATTATATACGTCATTTTATACGTCATTTTTAATGTATTTTGGGCCGATTTCATCGATTTTAATATCGAGGTGCAACAAATGTTCACCACAGAAGTCTCGAGTAGCCTATTCGATTTCTTCGCTCATATATTGTAATGTCAGACGTTGTGAGTACTATGTAATCAAAGGTACCTGTGACGCCATTGTCTGTTCGACCGATTTCGCGATACATTAAGACAAGAGATTTGTTTTTAAGAACAGTCCAAACAAAAAGTTTGCAAATTGAGTTCACTTGAATAATATGAAGGCACACATTACATCAGTAAAATACCCAACAGCTTGAGTTGTTCATCTGAACTGCTTTTTACATCATTTTACTTGTTTTTAGGACATTTTGAAAAGCATTTAAAGATAATTTTATTGATCTTTTTGGCAATATTTTAGTTCATCAAAATCCACCTCCTAGTGATGATATCGAAACTGATGAACCAATGGATGACAATGATGCTGATCCGGCCTATTTACCAGTTAAATCATTGAATGATGAAAACAATTTAAGTACGGATTAGCATTATATTGACTCAAGTTTAATATCAAAGTTTATTACGTTAGCATTCAATTTATTTATAAATTTACTGGATCCTTTTCAAATACATTTTAGTGTAAGTTACATGAATTCTTGATTTTCTTTGTTTGACAACAATTAGATTATTTTGAATTAAAAAAAATACAATTTAAAACGTTTTTGTTTCAATACTCTGGGAGTTTTTTTATCAGTACTCCAAAAGAAGACAAGCCTTTCCTTCATTCAGGATGACATCAACCTGCATTGATAGAAGAAGTGACCAGCCGATCCACACACCCTAGAGAAGCATTCGTCGGGCCATAAGAGTAAACTTCTTTCCTTTCTTTCATTCTCGTAGCTAATGTAAAATAAGAATGTGTTTGGAAATTCAGTATTTTGGAAATATAGTGCTAAACCACAAAACGTTTTTTTCTGAAATATATTATATTTTAAAAAAATTAAAACTTTCAAATGAATTATCATATCATCATGATCATCATGATTTAGTGACACAAATAATTATTTGAAAATTAAAACAGATGAAAAAAATGATAAATATGATTTACAGATTTTCCCAAAACTTTAAAAATGATTTATCTCTAAACAGTCTGTGTGGGGGTTGACACTTTCTTCCGCCGACTCCTTCAGTTTTCCTCCAGACTGGCTGCAGTCGGCCTAGCAACGTGTGCCCAAAAGTTAGTGACGAAAATACTGTCACCGTTGGGACCGGAACCCTAGGACTTCCAGGTCCGTGGCACTGCAGTGACATCAGATGAGTTACCTCCGCCGGGCCGGGTAAGAGCAATACTCACTTTCATCCATATCCCACCTACTCATGATTTTGAACGACAGAACATTGTCGTGCCGGCCATGGAAATGCATTCTGTGGCGGTTCATCTTTACCCCCCCCCCTCGGCGAGTCTACTTTACTGGTCCTCTTTAGTAAGTTTATGCATCACTACGCATAAAAAAGTGCTAAAAGGTGGTCGAAATTGCCTGATCGCGCGTTGCCGTGGCGCGGGGGCCGCCGCCCTGCCTTCCGCCCCCCGTCACCACAGGCTGCGCCGCCTCGCGAACGCGACTTAACCTAGTACACGGCGGGTAGGCGAGGCGCTATCAGTTTGCTGCAGCAGGGCAATTACGCCAGAGAACCTTCTGGACTTCCGCGAGCGCCCCCGCTGTCTGCATGAGATGGAGTCACCCGGGGCGCTCGCGGCCAGCACTTTACACAATCTGCGCGCCAGGCTGCGGACCACCCTCTCGAGCCTCGAAACATCAAGTATTAGTAGTGAGCCACTGCGCGTCCATGGCGACACGCGGCCGCTTCTTTGCCACTGGTCTGTGATTCCTCCACGGGTCGAGTCTCTAAAAAACATCTCTCTCATCGTTGAAGATATTTTTATTCAGCTAATAACGATCTTCGGTTTGTTCCTCGTAAGGAATTATAATTCATACATTCAGAAAGTTTATAACTTGAATTGTTAGGGAAAAACGCTTAATATATGGTATCAGATGCAATCAATGATATCTGTACAGTGGCGCACCGAACAGGCAGGGAAGGGGGCTTGGGCTTTCAGTCCCCTCCTAGAAGAAGCCAATGACATATTCAAAAATATAGAGAAGTAATTTTCTGCTTCAAGTGCGGCGGCGGAAGTACAACATAAAAAATCAAATCTAGAGTAAGAGAAGGATACGCTTGTCATCTTACACCGTTATTGTTTATCTTGTTTATAAACGTCTTATTGAAACGGGTACAGGAAGCGGGCATATAAATAAATAAATATATTATATATAATATTAATTATATAAATAATAAAATCAGATAAAACGGAAACATTATGGAGGAAATAGGAATGGGCGAACGAGAAGTTAGGGCAAAGGCGAGATTGATGACAATTATCTTACGCGCTGTATCATTTTGTGGATTCCCGAAGTCTGGAAGGAGAATATACGACGCCCACGATTGACAATAATTAGGTTACAAAAAGTTTGGTAGATAAGTAAGCATTCGTCTTTTGATCTCAGCTTTTCCCCACTCACACTCTTCCCCCCACCCGTATCATATGGTCTCTTTACCGGTTTTGATGTATTCATCTGGGATGAATACCAGTATTCGAAAGGTGATAATATCGTAGGATGTAGATATTGTAATGGCTTAAAGGTCATCGGTGGAATTCCTTAGAATCAGGTAATATAATTTGTAATAAGCGGCCTACTTAATTAAAAAAAGGTTATATGCCTTGTGGTGAAGGTGTTTCTCCGACGCTGTAACGTGATATCTGGCGTAGTTCTTACCTGGCTTCAGGGTATATTCATTACCCTGGATAAACTAGGTTTTCAACTGGTCTCCCGACATGTCGGTAGTGAAGTGCAAGTGCCTGTACGTGTGTCCAAAGGAAAAGGGAGAACAAGAATGAGGAAGGAATGATCGCGCGCGGCCATGGGTCGTTTGTTAGGGTACTTCTTCGGCATTCGATTGGTATTGATCGGATAAATCTCACAAAACTACCGATCAGAGCAGCCGGTCGCAAGAATTCTTCTTCAGATAGGGTTTGAAATCGATCCAGCTATTTACCCTCGAAAATCTGCCGCCGTCGGAACTCGAAGTCTAGGACCTTCTAAAGAACGACGCTGCATAAGTAACGATGATGCCTCTGAGCTATCACAACCGGTGAACTAGGCCCCAATGAGGGTGTAAGTGTAGCAAGGAATTTATAGCCAGTTGGAGTGAAGTTGATTAGTAGCGTTCTTTTCTAATTATTTCAAAGAGGCCCTTAACGCTTACAACATAAATCGTCAGACAATATAGTAGGACAAGTTTATTAACCCATTAATGCTCCATTTTTCTTGACAAATATACTATATCATTCTGTGAAAAAGACTGACCGTGCAGGATACAACTGCTAGGCGAAGTGAGTAAAGCTGTGGGAATTCTTGGCAGACGGGTTTCGAGTATCTCGTATGCGAAGCCGCAATAGACGCCGGCAAACGGGTGGAGAGGGCATCCCTACTCCGGAATGCGAGGTCTTCCCGGAATACGGGCCGGCCATTTCAAATATTTGCTTCTGTCATCGTAGCTTGAAACCGAATCAGGAAAAACCTATTGTGCACTGAAATTAATGAATAATCTCAATATATTTTAATGCTCTGTACTTGGAAGGAATTTTATTAAATATTTCAATTGATAATTATTTAACAGTAAATTTGTTCGGTAAGTTGCACAATACATTGAAGAAAATTTTCGGCAGATATACCTACAATATTATTAAAAGGCATCATTGGCATTTTTTCCTCAAAACTTTAATATTAGTATAAATCATTGTCACTCCTAGATAGATGACCTTGAAGTTTTTTCTAAACAATTTGTACTTACCTAAAATATTTTTCACGTAAAGTACGTAAAATTTTTATATTAGCTTACAATATTACATCGAAAAAAAAATTAAAAGCAGCGGGGGGTTTTGGAAAATCATCATAATTTGGAGGATTTCATTCAAGATTTCTGAACGTAGGAACCTTGCCTCACAGGGAACGTTGTCTCGCTGACCATTGCCGACCAGGTCTCTGGTGTAATAGTCTCTTCTGTCTTGCAGAAAGGCGTAGCCATACAGCATCATAACCAGTGAATTGGAAGCATGGTATGATTTTAGGGAATACGTTAGCAGTGTCTTAGAGTAGAAAATCATAACATTGTGATACGTGAAGAAAACTACAAATTTTCATGGAGCCAGACGACTCGACACTTGACTTACCAAGTCAGGTGTCAGGTCCAATATAGTCAGTAAATTTAATTCTTGAATCGGAATATAGTAGGGGAAAGCTAAGAAAGTTAATGAGATTTAAGCAGAGAAATAAAAACAAAAAAAATACATTTTGCTGTTAATTCTTTTTGTGGAATAACATCATAATCAATTTTTTAATTGCAAATTTTTTACTATTTATTTTCAATATAGTCAAATAATTGGTGATAATAAAATTTCGTTAAATCGTCAACGATTTAATTGTATAATTATCTGATTTTTCGATATTACAAATAACGCAATAAATTTGCTTGCAGTATTCCCTGTTGTATAGAGAAGACTATGCCCATATGAACAGTATTTGGTGCTGTGCTTGGGGAAAATACAAGGATGTGGATGGTACAGAAGATGCAGGTTCTGGAGTATCTAGGTGAAAATCATGCTTTAAATTTAAATTTACAATAAATAATATTAATATATATAATAAATATTTATTTATTTGTATAATATTATTTAAAGAACTCCAATATCTGTGGAATATCTAGGTGAAAATCATGCTTTTAATTTATAATAAATAATACATATTTATATAATAGTATTTAAAGTACTCTAATATCTGTGAAAAAATATTTTCAGCTCTTCCAACGGCTCAATTGATTTTCTAATTACTGGCTCTGTGGATGAATCAGTGAAAGTTTGGATGTATAAAGATAGAGAAATCATACTTATGCACAAATTTGATCACTCATTGGGTGTTTCATCAGTTGCCATTAATACAAAAGGGACAAGTATGTGAAATTTCAAAACTATATTAACTGTTTAATTTATTCACCAATGGGATTGAACATGTATTTTTTACAGGATGTGTATCAAGTTCTTTAGATTCCAGCCTGTGTCTCTGGAATTTACAATCTGGTAAAAAAATGTACAGCATTGATGTTGGTCCTATTGATATTTGTTGTTTGGACTTCTCTCCAGATGATAATGTGTTTGCATGTGGAAGTAATTCTGGAAAAATTACCTTCCATGATGTGGAATCTGGTAAACTAAAAAATTCATTAATGAATGAAGCAATATTTATCATGTCTATAGCTTTTGTAAGTGTTATTAACGAGTGGATAATGATATCAGCGTTTGCAAGCATTTGTCAATTTTCTTGTGTTATACTTGTACGTTTATTCTACTTGTTTCAGAGTCCTGATGGAAATTCTGTTGCCAGTGGAACAATGGGTGGTATAATCACCACCTTTGATGTTGCTACAGGAAAAATGTTGCATGCAATGCAAAGTTGGTATTCTATGTATCAGTGAATTTATCATCTTTCATTTATGCTAAAATGTAATACTACGACAATTCATTGTTATATTGTAGGTCACACCATGGCTATCCGTTCCCTTTGTTTCTCTCCTGACTCCAAACTTTTGGTATCAGGATCAGATGATGGAAAAGTGAAACTGCATGATATGTGAGAAAATTATTTCTTTATTTTGTTTTGTAGGTGTGTGTATGTGAGGTATTTTTGTGATATCAAGAACACAAATTAATAAAGAAATTCTTTTTTCAGTAAAAGTGCGCAACATTTTTGTACTTTGAATGGTCATGGATCCTGGGTATCTGGTGTAGACTTTGCTCCTAATAACGAAATTCTTGCTTCTAGTAGTTGTGATAATTCAGTTCGAATGTGGGAATTGAAAAACAAAAAATGCCTTCACACATTTAAAGAGCACAAAGATCAGGTAAGCATTCAATGCACATTTTTAAAATTTCTTGGCAAACTGTACTAACTTTGTTGGCGAGATGATGCATCGGGTAAACTTTTTAGATATCAATTACACTTCATTGAATAACATTGATATTACTGTATTATGGGGTATTAGACCAGGAATAAGGAAATAATTTTGATTGTTTCTATATTTATAAATTGAGAGAATTTTGAGAAAGAATCATACTTTCTTGAAGGTAAATCATTGTAAATTTACAGGTAACAGCAACCTGTTGAGCCAATATTTGATATGATTTGTGGAGAACAAAAATAAAATTCTGATACAATACAAAGTTGTCCTATTACAAATGCTTGGAACCTCATTCAAGTTTGCAAAACTGAATGTGACATCGTTAGTTCAATTGCTTAACTAAGCTCCATGAAGCCATGGAAGTTAAGCAATTCGAGACACTAGGGATTTCTCGACCAGTGACATCTGGGAATCCCAGTTACTATTGCCACCAAGGCCCTGGCCAAAGGGATAAAAGGCAGTGACTGATAGCACTGTGACAAGACAATACTCCAGGCAGGGGCGGATCCACCCAACCATTTTGGGGGGCCATCATATATCATTATAATAGAATATTATTGTTTAAATAATTACATAATACAAACATAAATAAATATTTAAATCAATTTTGCCCAATAAAGGAAGGTAAATTAAAACTCTAGGAGTTTTGGGAGAGGGCCATGCCCCCCCCCCCGTCCGGATCTGCCATTGCCCCTTGGCACTCAATGCCCACATTAGTAATGGATGATTTACCCTTATGATAGTGACATTGTAACTTCTCACAGGATCGTGCAACTCTTTTGAACGCATATCATTCTAATCATCAACCTCCCATCATCATTCAACCCTCTAATCATTTATACTGTGGAAGGCAATTACAAACCACTACTGTGGTCACCTGCCTATGAAAAGGGAGAATAAAAATTTTCCTCCCTCATCAACAGTCAGTAATGTGTTTGATGTATCATCATCATAAAAGAGAAAATTTGTAAACAGGACTGTATATGCCATTTCTATAAGTGGATCAATTTGAAATTTTTTTTGTTGATTTCAACAAGGCAAAAACAGAAAATGAAGTTTGAGTGTTTTCCTTCAAATTAAAACAAAAAAATAAAATGAAGTAATGTACTGTAAAGTAGAAAAAGGAAAAACTGTATTAAAACTCAAAAGTAAAATTTGAAATCCAGAAAACAGGTAGACAATTATTCACAAAATTCATATATATAGTATTAGAAACTGTTAAACATTTTTTCACTAAAATATTTTAGTTCCTTGATATATCAATTTTGCATCACAAATTTTAAAGAAAAACATATTAAAACTAAGTGCAATTTATATCCTATTTAATAGTAATATTAAAATGAAAATTTTCAATGGCATTTCTTTAGTGCAGAAATTTTACGTAATTATGAAAAAGTGTCTCACGCTTTTCTTTGAAAATAGTGATACATAATTACTCTCGTACGGAAGTAAAATAATTTTAGTGAAGTTTGTGGAATTTTTTTTAACAATTTCTAATTCTACGTTAATGAATTTTGTGGACAAATGTGTTCTAGTTTTGTGCATTTGAAAGTTTATATTTGACTTTTTAATATACTTTTTTCTATTTTTAGTACATTTCTTCAATTTATTATATTTTAAACTTCTTTTCATATTTTTTAGTTAAACAGACAATGTATTATGAGTACAAGTAACAATATGGATATTAACAATATGGATTATCAATTCAGAGGCAACTTTGTTTGTTAATGGCCTTAAACTATAGGTAAAACATAACACCCAACAGTAAAGTTTCTATTTTGCTCCAATTGCTCAAACTTAATGATACACTTGTGGAAAATTATGTTTTTGAAGATTATACCAGCTCACCATTACCGGATATTTGATCATCATTTTTAAAGGTTAAAAGAAATCATAATTGTCGAAAAGATATTTGATCATCACACCAAGTGCAGTTCCCAACCAGCGATCAGTCAGCTGTCCTGTCATTGGTTGATGGATGGTCCGGTTGTAATTATTTTATTTGTAGGAAATGAAGGAATACATGATGTATTGATTCAATATTTTAGATTGCTATTATATGGCTATATTGTACCGAAATTTCATGATATTATTACATTTAAATTAGAACATGAAACATTTCAAACCTAATAATAAAGATTTTTATTCATTTTAAAAATAAATGAGTTAGGGAAATTGTTCAAAATCAAATTAAACATTAAGTGTCATCCTAACTGTGTAAAGTTAGGATTTTTTTATTGACTAGAAGGTAATTTATTGTGTATTACAATAATTCACCTTGTGAAGTTCACGAAACTCCTTGTAAAATTAACGAAAAGCATATACAAATGCATGCATTGCACAAACATTATATCTGTATGATTTTCAGACCTCAATGGTGTAACAAAAATTATAATAATTCATGTAGTATGGCAACAAAATAAACATGAAATAAATTGTCAACATAACAGAATTTACTTTTTTTGGAATGAAGAGTCAAAAAGTAAGAAATAAATTTTAAAATGCAAACTATGTAGAATTATAGAATTTGACATACATCACAATAAAATACATATACTATATTTACAATTTGATAAATAATATAACAAACTCACTGAAAGGTACATCTGTGATAATGGGAAAACAGAAAAAATCATGTGGCCCATATTTATCAGATGTGACAGAAAAATTTGTAGTGGATAAATTCAAAGAAATACTGATAGAACAGAACTTGCATACAATAATTAACATCAGAAACCCTTTTCATTTTAACTGTAATAATGTTTGGCACTGATATGGGTACAAAGCCAAAAGACTTACTAATAAACAAGAGAATGGAATAATGCTTAACATTTCTTGGTGTTCTGTCTAAGACATAAGTGACATTGAAATGATTGCTGTTGTTTCCATTTGGGTTCCTGTTGAATTTCTTACAACTTTGTTTATCACCTCACTCTGCTAACATTCAAGTTACAATGAGAGACATATTGTTCATAGATTTATATTAGAATACCGAGTTATTTGTAAATTAAAGTAGAATGAAAATTGATGGAAATAAATTATGTAAACAACATCAATTCTGGTGTATTAAATAAATAATAAGTCAAATGATTCTTATTCAAGAAAAGGAAAAGTAGTTTGTGTCAAAAGTGGTGAAAAGAAATTGTGTTGTTGAAATACAATATCAAGTAAGTAAATAATTATGAATACATAAAAGTATTTTATAAAACCAAAATAGTCTATTCTGAACGACACACATTAATAATCAGTTTCCCCAAAATAAATTAATCAATCAGAAGTACTCCTTTTCTGAGTAGACAAGGCAGTGCTGCTGACTATGTAGCATTCACACAAGATAATTTAAATTTTGAAAAGTGTCTCTGATATGCTCAACAATGTTTTTAGTTCTATTCTGGCAATATTTGTGTCATTCAGGTCAATAGATTCTCTTTCCCATTTGAAATTCTTAACACTTGAATACTGTCCTTGTATATGTGAGATGCACACCAACGTTTTTCTTTAATTGTAAGCGCAGCTATAGGGATGGGATAAGCTCTTTCCTCCTAGCTTTCTAAATTGCAGGGAGCCAAACATTAGTTTGGGTCCCTTTTGAAGTGAATCCATCGTGGTGAGAGATCACTGTATCTCTTAGATACGATGATAGCAAATTCAGGTATTTTTGAGTAATTTATATTTTTAGTAATTACTCTTACTTTTGTGATTTTCTTCTAATTGTTCTCATTCTAGATGGTTAAATGAAGTTTTTCTAGTTTGTGACAAGTGATGTTCTCTTCAGAAATACTGTCACACGAGTCTCAGATATACGACAGTTTTACATAGTGTTTTTATTATTATTATTATTATTATTATTATTATTATTATTATTATTATTATTATTAGTGCACAGAATGGCATCTCAGAAACAATTTTTTTGTACTTGAAATGCCCGAATGATGTAACAAGTGTTGAACAAATGTTATTTGATGACATGATGAGGATGATGAGAAGAGGAAGACTGTAATAGCGACTTCAAGATTTGTAGGCAATGTTCATTCCTGCAGCAGTGTACATTTGCTAGTGCTCACCTATATGAGTGTTACATAGAAAATAAAAAGAAATCTACCTAATATTTTGTTCAATATTTTACAAGCAATTTTGTAATTTTTTGTTATGAAAATGATAAAAGAAGATTTACATTTCTTAAAACTACTTATGTAAAAATTGGAAATATTATGGAATTTTTATCATGTATCACAGGTACAAGGACAGCAATAACACAAGTTTTTTGAGGATAGTAATCAAGTGTTAATAATTTCTAAAATAGGAAAAGTATTTTAGTTAAAAAATATAATTTAAAGACCTTGATTCAAGATTCACCAAGTTTCAAAAAGTTAATCCCAATTTCTTATTTCTTTTCCCAACAAGTACTTTTAAACTGATGTATGTCAAGTTTATGAAAACGCTCTGTGTTTATTCGTTTGTTTTTATATTTTGGTGGTTATCATAAAAAAGATTAGTAATTCTGATATTATGACTGCAATTCAATCATACTGTTGTTTTTTTTCCATTCTACCAATATGAATTACTGTTAAAACTAGGTAAATTGAACCTGAATAAATTCTTTTAGTGTGACTTATTATGAAGCCCAGCATGTTTAAATAAAAACTCCATTTGTGAGAATGTACAATTTGTTAACTGATGCTACTTTTCCATCCAGATTTTTCTCAGTATTTGTTGTGTACGTAAGCTTCCGCGGCTCGAATCCATGAATTCTCGGCTATCCGGGAGACGCCGCGTCGTTGGCTGGGGTGCTGGCACCCCAATAGCCGAGAACTCAGTATTTGTTAATAGAGGGCTATTCTCGGGATTCTCCAGAAAATAGCCTTTTCCAAAACTGGTGGATGTTTCTACATGATCTTCATCTCTTATTAATGAGCACTAACTAAACGTTTTGTTCACTAGTAGGTAGATTGTGCAGGAAAAACAAAAAAAAATGTTGTATGTACATCACAAATGTTGAAGCAAAAGTTGCCAACAAGTGAAAAATTGAAGGTGCTTTAATAATAAGTCAAATGCAAGGCTTATAAAGGACTTAAAAAAACTTATGTTAAAATTGACTATTTATATTTAAATTTTTTACTCGTGCTTTACATTGTGTGATAAAATGTAATACACAACATGTTTATAAATTAAGTTTCTTGTATTGCATTTTTGACCAATGTTCTTTTTTCAAAACTGAAACAAATGTGATTTGAATTTTTTAAAGTGAATTCTTCTATAAGTAACACACTTATGGATTTTGAATAAGTAAGAAACTGCGTAAGTGAAAAACCTCTTTAAGTAGGAATAAAATTCCTTTCCCTTGAAATCCTGCTTACCCAGGTTCAATTACCCAGGTTCAAATGTTTTATACTTTTTGTAGCACTGAAGTCTACAGATGAAGTAGATTTGCAAGTTTTCTGTATTTTTCTTGGTGAATAAAAACTTTAATTGCCGGTCCGGATGGCCGAGATCGCCAAGCGATCTCTGATCGAAGGATCACTGGTTCGAGTCCCGCCTCGGGCATGATTGTATTGTGTTCGTCCTTTCACCCCTATGATATTCATATTGTATCATCCTCATAGATACCATACCGTTGCTCGCAATAGTGGTAGCTAATGGCCTAGAAGTTGATGCGACCTTAAATTTAAAAAAATAACATTTAATTATACATAAGCAAGGGCCATTATTACTAATTTGTTTTTATAAATTTGAAGGGTATACACACTTTTCTGAGTTCTGCTGAACTTATGAGATAACCTTGTACATATCTTCATTACCACTGACTAGAGAATAAAATAACAATTGTGACAAAACTCATCAACTATGTAATAATGTGATAATATTCGTGATAAATGAATATTAGATTTTTAATGCATTGTGATATTAACAAGTTTATTGTTAAATAACATTCGTTGAAATGAATACAGAGTTTTGAGTAAATGTAGGTACCAATTTTGTTTTCATTTTATCTCAGCATTATTATAGCATCAAAAATTACAAGGTCAGAATGTACTTTGGTTGACTTTCGGTGTGAGGAAATTAACTCAAAACATAACTCGCATGTTAACTGTATATTGCATGAGATCCTGCATTTAATGTCTTACAAAGGTTAAAGTTTACTAATAAAATTAATCCACAGTAAAACATTGTTTTCTACAATGCCTGTGTCACACGAGCGTCACCTAATACTGACGTTGGCTGCGTCGATACATGCGAGCTCTTGGCAACGCGCGTTTTGCCCACAGCTCAAGTACGACGCTCAAGCTACATCGTAAGTCAAGATACGAGTTTTCTAAACAACGCACGTTGCCAAGATCGCTCATGTGTCGTTTTGAATAAGATAGTGTTAATTTACGACGCGCGTTAAGTGACTCGTGTGAGCAGAAATCGACGCGCGTCGATGCAACTGACGTCATCAGCGTTTAGTGACGCGCGTCAACGCAACGCTCATGTGACACGGCTAAAATATTGCTATTGTGATTTTTTATTTAATCAAATTTTTGTGTATTTCTTGATAGAATAATATTGAATAATACGGAACTGAATAAAATATTGTAAAACAACTTATGATGCCACCTGAAAAATTCATGTTAATGGCATTTTTACAGCTACACATCTTATATACAAATTGAAAAGATTAAAATTAGTTTATATCAAGTGCTATGTATCGTAATTATAATTTTCAACTGCTATTGGATTAGTAATATTGTAACTTATTTTTTCTTCCCTTTAAAATAGTAATAGTTTTATTCCTTGTATTGTAGCCTGAAGATGGGGTAAAACATACTGCCTGAAACGTTTTACTTAGAAAATAATTAATGAACTTTTTGTTCATAATACATTTTTTGTTTTTATATACTGTCCATGTAAACCAAGTGGCCAAATACAATGAATTTATGAGATTATATACAAATTATACATTGATTAAAATATTACCTCTTGATAATAAGTCAGATCAGTTATCTTCAAAGAGTCAGCTAGTAGTCCAGTTTAAAGTTTTACTAAGGGATGAATTATACAGCATCAAAAAGAGAAAGAAGATCTTACTTTAATGGCAAATAAAAATTAATGAATTGTAGTACTAGTGATTGAATGTGCATGATTACAATTTTTTAATTCATGGTCACTCACAGAACTGGTGAATTAGGTGTGTTCGCAACACAATCTTCTCCTTGAGCCCAATTGTGAAGAAGCCCTACCTTCAGTTCCTCCTTGGGCCACATCAGCCTGAATGCAATTGCTCAGGGGTATCTTTACCACTCAGTTTAACACACAACTGCTTAAACCACATTTAAATGTTATGAAAATTTGACTTATTTCATTTTCACCTTTCTGTTTTTTGAAATATATTTATTACTTGATTAATAAATAATAATAATAATAATAATAATTTCATTATTATAGCACTGCCCCAATTCTAAACAGCAACAACTCACACATTTTAAGTTTAGGGGTTTTCCCATTTTAAAGTGTAATATCACACTTACATCGTCAGCTTACCTCATTATAATTTGACAATGATATATTAGACACAAATAAGAAAACATTTCAAATTCAAGAGAAACTTAACATATTGACGGTGATGTTAAACTTCAAAATGGCGATTTCTCAAAACATATAACTTTGAGTTGTTACCTTTTGGAACTTTGGTTAGTTAGGTTGTAATGAACTTCGCCATCAATTTAACTATTTTATTTTCAGTTTTAGATGTAACAAAAATTAACTAAGTGGCTTTTTAATCAAAATTACCTTTATGTATTTTAATATAAAAATAATTTGATATACATTGGTATTAACATCAGAAACATTATAATGTATTTAAATATACAACAAAATGCAAAGAATTGAGACTAGGCATTATTGAAGTTGCTGGCAAGAATATGTATAAAAATTAGACTATCATTTTCCCATCAATTTTTTTATTGATATTTATTTTGAAAAGAAAAGAACATTGGAGAATGGCACGGAACTTTCCATTAGAAAGAGAAGATTTTGATCATGAGTGTTGTAGCTATTAATACTATATATAAAAAAATAAATAAATTTTTAATAATGGAGTGATTCTTGGATTTGGGTCAGAAAATTCTTTATAAATATATTAAGGCCATTAATGAATTTCTAAGTTGTTTAGTTTAATTGCTAGCTTCTGTTGTAATAAGTACTTTCATTCTAGTGTTTGTGATTTCTTATTATTAGTTGTATATATTCTGTTGCTCATTTGATATATTATGAGCATAACACTTTTTTAAGCTTGTTAATTTTTAACATCTTGACACTCATATTGACATCTTCATGTACATATACACAAAGAGAAGGCATTTGTTGATGGTATGACGATCTTGCTATCTGATTTTAGGTTTGGAGTGTCAAATTCAATCCTGATGGTGACAAAATGATGTCCGTTTCAGAAGACAGGGCAATAAATATATATGATTGTTCTGCATGAACAAACATCAACTGTATTACACAGCATGAAATATGTATTCCTTTTCACATTTCCACCTTGTATAAGTGTAAAAAGTGTAAAAATAAAATGTAAGTGAAAAAGTAATTTTCAATTGTATTTATACTGCATTATAAGAAATTATACAGCCCATTTTACTCAGAGAGCCTATTTTAGGTGCTTAAAATGGAAACTTTGGGAGCAAAAAAATCCTCAGTCTAGTTATAAGCATTTTGGTTATCATCAGCAAAATGTTTTTCGTGCAATCTATAATGGACATTGTTTTAAAGGTTTATACATACCTGTGGAACATAGCATTCAACATATTTTTTCAATATAAAAATAATTGCTTAATATTTTTTCTTCAAAATTTTATAGAAATAAAAAATTAATAATTTTTAAATACATACCTGTGACCAAACAATGTAAAATATGTGTATCACAAGTTCTAAGTCATATTCTGTTGTGTTTATTATGGAAGCCTTCCAATAAGTGTAAAATTGGCCAAAAAAAAAAAAAAAAATTGGATATCTGGAAGATTGTATTATTCAACATATCCAAAAAAACATTAGAATGTACATTTAAATAATATTTTACAATTCAATAATTAAGAAAATTTTGTACTTTATTACTTTTCATACTTACAAAAATCAAAATGTTTGAGATATAGAATGGCACAGACTATACACATACTTAAGGGAGCAGTGAAGTTCTTGGAAAATCGTGAAAATTGTTCTAAATGTAGCAAAATTCAAGCTAATTGATGAAAAGACATTAGTAAATTATAAGGTTAGTAAGAACATCAAAAAGTAGCCTTCCACAGAGACAATAAACAGCCTTTCTTTAGAAGAACTACACTTGACTTTTCATGCTCATTCCATGTAAGTTGATAAACTGAATCAGGGTTCTGGGCACATGGTCTTCAAATGGAATGTTATAATCCATAACAGCTTTTGCAGCTAAGCACTTCAGGCTCAAAGGAGTTTGAGTTTGAAGCATCTCCAATGCAGAATCTGGAACAATTTTCATGCAATTAGCAACCCATTATTCCACACCAACAGCCCATTGCAAATAGAAAGAACGAACAAACCTGTATAAGCAGTGTCAAATGGAGTTTCCCCAAAAACATTTGTGACATCCACATGAGCACCAGAATCAATTAATAAAGAAATAATAGAAGAAGCCACATGTCCATTTCTACATAAAACAAAAAAATGAAGGGGACATCAGTTAGAAGCATGCTGAGTGAAGCAGCGAATGCCGGGTTGGAAGAGGACAGAAAGGGCAGGGAAATATTGAATCTTTGCATTTTGGTGGGGCACATCTCGCTAATCTAATAATGCCATTTCTCCATCACAGTTAAGGTGATTAGAAAATAATGTTGCAGTTAAAAATTTTAAGTAAAAATTATGGAAAACCCAGATATACACAATGTTCTCCCAACATATATATAGTGACACTGTTTATAAGTTTTTCACTTAAACTTTTTCAAGTTAATACATTTTTTGGTAGGCTCTGGATAAATTTCTATAATTCCCATATTAAATTATTTCAGCTTTGTATTTTATGTTTATAAGTTTTTCACACTTATACACTCATAAGAAAAGCCCCTTCAAAGAGGTGTGGATCCATGGGGAGAGAAATTTACTCCCCTAAATTTTTTTAAGTAACTTAATTTTAACTTTTTACGAAACTTTCAATCGGGAAATAAATGAGGATTCCACAAACTTCATTGAAAATCATTTGAAGCAATTCTAATCGCAAGTGCTATTAATGAAGATAAATAATGCTGGAGGTGTCTGTGTGTGATTTTCAAATTTTCAACTTGTAAACAATTTTTTTACACCCTTATTGAATTTGTAAAACTTATGAACCATCAAATCAATTGTTGTCTTTCGGCGCTTAGACTTTTATATAAGAGCCAATTCTCTATATAACCTGCGTGGCCGAAGTGGTAAAATGCCGAGTTTGGTCTCGAGAGTTTCTTGTAGAAGGGCCGCTGTTTAGAGGCTGTCTCAAAGATAATTATTTGTTACAATTCTCTGTTGCTTTTAACCAGCAAAAATTATTTATCACATCGAGTTACGACTGCCGAGCTGCAATCTTTTTCTGCTTAAAGGGAATTTATTATTTTGTTATTTTTTCTGCTGTCTAATACTGCAACTGAAACAAGACCCTCTTACGACTACCATTAGTGCCCATTCCCATATGATCCCGGGATCATACAGGGGGGTTCAGTTGTACAGTCGAACTTGCCTCCAAAGCACGGAAACTACACATATCATTTAACCAACCTTTGAGACCGATGACTGAGTTTGCTTAAATGATGTGTATTGTCTCTGATTTGGAAACCATATCAGCTTTTGTTCGAGCCTCACTCGTGGATAGTTAACATTTGTCACAATTCTGTGTTGCTGAATAAAACCATTGAAAATTGCAAAAACGTAAATGAAAATTATTTAAAGATCTTATACTAATAAATTCAATCAATATAAATAAATTTGAAGTGGGTATGTGATTTTCGAATTTGCAACTTTTAACCCCCTTGTTGTCAGTTCCCCCCCCCCCACACACACTATTTTCTCAGCTCCATAATGCTAGAACTGAAACAGTTGTGTCTTGAGTAATAAGTGTATAGGTATTGTCCTCCAGGATGGCCGAGGTTGTTAAGTGGCACGTTTGGGTTCATTAGTTGAAACCCAGAGGTCACCGCTTCGAGTCAAATTCAGGGATTTTAATTTGATGAAAGTGTAGTTGTAGAGAACTATTAGGGATTCAAGAAATAGTATTGAAAATCATTTGAGGCATTCCTACTTACCCTGATATACCCTTACCGATATACCCTGAATGATCTTAACGGACTAGAGGCTTTGGGAGTTTCTAATGGATAATTTGATCTTGAAAGGTGTGTGTGTGATGTGTGTGTGTGTGTGTTTCTATACTGCGTGAACAACACTTATGCTGGTTATGTAGTAGTGTAATGTTGTAGTGCTTACACGGAACAACGCGAGAAAGATGCGCTTTGGCAGCACCAGTATTTTAAAACCATTACAAATTCTGACCAACATTTTAGTGTACCGCAAGCGATTATGCAAAACCCAATTGCCGCAAGAGCAAAACTCCTCTGAACAAATGTTATTCTGTTGAAAGTGGGTCAATTGAATACACCTTTGTATTGCAATAACCCTTATTATTATAATATGCTATCAGTTTCATAACGTATGATTTTCGAAAAAGTGGATAAACTATAATCCTTGTTACATCTTTTGTGCATTACGTTTCTGACAACATTTACGAAAAATGAAACTCGAGGCACATGTGCGTACATGTGCCTTATATATTAACAGCTTTTATTTCAAGGTATGCGCAGGCAATTATATCTCCTTCCGCTATGTAAGTTGCTGTGCGTGAATGGCTGCTGTTATAGTAAATGTGTGCATGTATCGGTGAATGTTGTGGCTGTTGCGTGAATGTGTCTGTTGAATGTCGCTTCCTGTTGCATGTGATATGAGTGCTTTCGTGAAATGTTCTGCTGTTGGTGATGTTGCTGTGCGGCTGAAAGTTGCTTGATTGCGTGAAGACTTCTCTGTATGGTGAATGTGTGGTGCGTGAATCGCTAGCTCGTTGTAATGCAAGTGTGCTGTTGGTAATGTGTGCTGTGGTAAGTGTGCTCCGTGACGTGATGTGTGCTGTGGTGAAGTGTGCTGCTTGTGAATGTTAGCTTCCAGTGAATGTGTGCTGTTGGTGAATGTGTGCTGTTGGTGAATGTGTGCTGTTGGTGAATGTGTGCTCTTTTCACAGGAATGCCTTGCTTATCCCCTCCTTTAGAACCTTCACCTCTCACCGAGATGCCCATTTGCTTTCCTCTTTTTTCTTCTTCCAAATGTAAAGTTTCCAGAATATAAATAATAGTCTGCAGCTGTGCTTCCTTTTCGAAAAAGTTTTCTACCTCAATTTTTGAAGAATCATGTTTCCAAAATTATATATAATTGAATTAATAATTCAATTTTTGTTAAAAACTGAGAATACAGTCTAAAAACGTTATGATAGTGAGTTTACGAGAGGCGTGAAACGAGAAATTTGTTTATACTTTATGTTATATTAAAATTTAAATAATACCAATTAGTTTATATTTAATGCACCCTTGTATTAAAACTGCTCATACACACCTGTGTGCTGCGATGATATGTAAAGGAGTATCTCCCTTAATATCCACTGAGTTAACGTCAGCCCCACACTCAATGAGCAAACGTGTTACTGCAGCACATGGGAAACTAGGAAAGAAAGACAATCATATAATATAAACCGTAGAAGATTTATATATAAATTTCTGAAATAGTACTTTCTTACACGTTGTCGAGGTCGTCATATTCATCAACATATACACACATGTGCAATAGAGTCAGTCCATTCTGTGCTCTAATATCTGCCTTATTTAATTGATAAATCAGCCGACAAATACTTAGTTTTTCACTTGATGTTAGAGAGTTCATCACTTTTGTCACAGTAACCAATATACTCAGTAAGGCAATGATATTATTTTGGAATTCCTCCTAGGAAAATTAGTCATTGTAAAATAAAATATAATAAGCATTAAATAATTTCAGAAGTTAAAAAAGAACAACACACAAGGTAGCATTCCATCTGACGTCTCAAACTTGTGACAGCCAAAGTTTCCTTGTTCCTTTCCAGTTCCCAAAGACAGGCAGTCAAAACATCTCTCAGAAGTGAGAACTTCAAATTCATATTTCTCCTCAGCATTTTGTAGAACATCTAGGCAGACGAAACAAAATATGATTCGAACAACTCTTTTTTATCTTGCTTTAAAATATTTTTTACCTTTCTATAAAACAAACTTTCACATGAACGCAAACCTTTGCAAAGCGGGTAAGGTCATCCGAGACGGACAGTTTATTTCGTTGGCGCATGCGCAAAGCATGGAGCCACAGCTCAGCGCTTCTGTCGTATCTCCCGTCTTCAGCGAACATCGTCCCGCGGAATTCCACGGCGTCGGCCACCTCCGGGTGGCGCTGCCCCAGGATGCGCTCTCTGACGGCCAGCGACTCCATGTGCAAGGCGGCCGCGTCGTGCTGGATGCGCTCCAGCTCCTCCAGGCTCTGGCACTCCACCCAGTTCCCGTAGGCGGCGACAGGCTCCCCCAGCACCTTGGGCAGCGGGGCCTCTGGGTCGCTGAACCTGCGACAGCGAACAGCTCCCGTGAGATCGCACCGCCCGCACCCACCTCACACGCACAGATCTTAAGCGGGTACCTCAATTCCATTGACAGACGCATGTATTTGTACGCGCTGGGTAGATCATAGAAATACATGTCGCTAGCAAATGCAGCACCTAGGAGCTCAAGTGCCAGGATTTTGTCCTCCTTCGAAAATTCAGGCAGCGTTACTAAATATTCCAAAAAGTATGCAAATGTGCTTCTAGCAGTGCCAAGCAATGGACTTAATCCTAAAAAAAAAGGACACTGAAGATGACAATCTGATATTACAGTACATTACCTCAAAAATTGCAAACGCAAAAATACCATTTTTATTTTTTGTAGGTACTGCGCCAAATTTCATTAGCAGAACCAAAATGTGGACATTGCCGTATTCGGCCGCGATATGCAATGCTGTATTACCACACGGCGTCTTTCGATGACAATCCGCACCCTGGTCCAGAAGGTACAAGAGCACATCCATGTGACCTCCATAAGTAGCGGCCATTAAGCATGTGTGGCCGTGATTCTCCAGGATTTCAATGTCAGCTCCGTGCTCACGAAGGAACTTCACTATGTTAAGTTTCCCAGCATAGCAAGCAACGTGAATTGGAGTGGAATTTGTCTTCGTAGCATGGTTGACATCTGCTCCAGCCTCCACCAAACTTTTTACTATTTCAAAATGCCCGGTACCTGTAACAGAAAAACGGGAGACGTGTTCTCGAAAGAAGATCGGCATGTGGCTCATGCAGATATGCGACTGCGCATTTAAGACATGATTTTACCGCGGGCGTTTTGACATTCCGTTCATTCTTTACGCTTTTTGAAGCGGTAAATGCATTTCCCTAAACAAATTAGATTTGTAAGGATTGCTAGCATTTCTGAATTCGGGAACCATATTAAAGGCAATATAGCATTTACTTTGAACACTTAATAAAGTCCGAAGCTTCATTAGATAGTAATGACATCTGTAACTTTTCTACAATCCAGACACATTAATGTGACCAAAGCCTATGTTCGACATAAACGTGCAATACCCCCTCACAGGTGACAGGTGGCAGCACTAACAGTGGAGGTATAAAACGTGTCGGGTTGAAGCGGAAAACATTGCAGTAGTCGCAATGAAGCGGAGCGATTTCTCAGACGTCCAAAAGGGTATGATCATTGGTTTTTGAGCCAAGGGCGGAGGCATTTCCAAAACGCACAAGTTTGTAAGTGTTCACGTGTCACCGTGTTTAAAGAATAGTGTTTGGAAAAATGGAGTTATCCAAAACCGGCGCCGAGGCAACTGTGGCGCACCACGGGTCATAGATGAAAGAAGAGAACAATTGCTAGGTATATGAGGGTGACAGCGCAATAGTGGCCTATCCCACATTTTTAGGAAATTGCGTTCTCTATGTTAATCACATCTTAATCTCCCTAACTTCAACGTGTAACAGTTTCAGCATGTTCGCGTCGATAGTTTTCAAGTTATAATTACAAAAAGAACTATTGCACTCAGCGTAATAACATTACATTTTTTTGTGGAATAGTGGCCTAAGCATAGGCGATGCTGTTTTACACAAGATTTAATCCACCACAAATGTTTAGTCAGTGGTCATTCTTACATAATATGAAAACACTTACAAATGAGCGTTTAATTTTGCCAATAACTTCATCAGCCATTTTCTCCAAACACAGGATCTGGGGATAGGCCACTATTGCGGTGACATCCTCATATATGCGAGATGGGCTGATAGACATGCAATTGTAGAGTAACTGACTGCCCAGATGAACCAAGGGGATACTAGTGAGAGCGTAGGCTTCCGAGGCCGGAGTCAGCATTTACTTGTCTATGGCGAAGGTACCTGGCATCTTCGCCGTGGACGCGGCGTCACCCGGACAGCCAAGTAAATAAAGGGGATACCAACAGGGTCTCCTCAACTACCGTTCATTGAACGTTGCAGTATAAACAGCCTCCGCAGCAGGCAGCTTGTTCATGCACCCATGCTGCCTTTTCATGGGCGACGAATGCTGGTATTTGCATGCCAATATCCACACTGAGCGCACATTGAGTGGCGGCGGGTGGCTTTCTCAGACGAATCACGTTTTCTCGGACAGAGTTTCGTTGGCGTATACGGTGCGAAACTTATGAGTGCGAACCCTCGCCTCAATCGCCCTGCGGGTCCAGGCTGGAGGAGGGAGCGTGATAGTGTTGGGAGTGCTTTCGTGGCATTCTGTGGATGGTCTCGTCATCCTGGAAAGCACAATGGATCAACAGAAGTATCCAGGCATCCTTGGGGACATTGTCCACCCCTATATGCACATCGTCTTTCAGGAAGACTATCTAACAACAGGACAATGCAACTCGGAAGAGCTCGCAGTGTACGTGCGTGGTTTGAAGAACACCACGATGGGATTATAGTTCTCCCCTGGCCTCCAAACTCCTCCGATTAAAAGCCAATCGAGAATCAGCGAGACCATCTCGATCAGATTGTTTGCGTTATGAATACGCAACGAGGAACCTAGCGCAGGTGGCCACGGCACTGCAGTCTGCATGACTCCCCATCCCTGTCGAAACCATCTAGCAGTTGGATCGTTATTGCTTACTAAACAAGAAAGCAAAAACGATGAGGCAACGTAAAATGGCTTGGAAAAGGATCTGCTATTGAATAGAACAAAGTAGGATATGGTAAATCAAGGCATGCTTGGAGAAGCGTAAGAAGAATAAGGGCGACGAATGTTAATTAAGTAAATTTACATGATTTCTTTACCGGAATGGAAGAAGAATTTTTCGGAGATGCTGAGGGAAAATAGGTTTTAGTGGAAAGAACCACGAACAATTAATAGAAACGTAAAGGAGGAAATGAAGGTCGAACCCATATTGGAAGAAGACTTTCAGAAAGCTCTAAAATCTTTCCAAAATGGTAAAGCTGCGGGTCCTGGTGGAATACCCGTGGATTTGTGAAAGTATGGTGTACCAAAGATGATTAGAGTATTTACTAATCTGTTCAATCGGATATTTCCGGATGATGTACCGACTGAATAAAATCTATCATATACTTCGACAATTCACAAGAAAGTAAGAAAGACATGAACAACTATCGGGGTATAGGTGTAATGCATTAATAGGAAGATTCCTGAAGAAAAATTTCAGAATAGATTGGAGGCAATGACGATGAGGATGAGGAGGTCCATGAACATTTCAGAACAACTGGTTTTACACAAGGAAAGTCCAGTATGGATAACATTTTTTATTAAGACATAAGTGAGAAATTGAGTCGAAAAGGAAGAGAGCTTTATTTAGTTTTTATTGATCTGGAGAAAGCAAATGACTCTGTGCCTATAAATGAATTTTGGAGGGTACCACGAAATTTTAAGATGGACGAATATCTCCTTCAACGCAATGAAAATTTATGTGAATACCCGGGTCGTTAAAAATCTGAAATCGAATTTCCGATGAATTTAATAGTACCAAAGGATTCCGTGGTGGTAGCAGATATCTGGTGGTAATTCATAATATGAGATAGGACATTTATTTCCTATCTCACATTAGTACCAAAGATTTAAGATAGGATGTGGAATGTCTGACACTATTTTCAACGTTTATTTAGAAGAGGTCCTTACGGATGGAATGCCCCGTCAGTGGACTCCTTACGAAGGAATTCGAGTTTTAATAAAAATACCATGCATTCGCTCCTATTTGCAGATAATGGCTCATGATAGGGATGATGAGTTATATGACCCGCAAAGATGATCTCCCCAATACGTTACTTACGTTTGTTTACGTTTTTGACTAAAAATCTATAAAAAATAGTATAGACCTGTGTACAGGATGGACTGAAATTACATTTGAAAAAACCAGTATCTGATAGGAAGAGAAGGTACTGACTTGGACGTTCAAGGAGTAGGACGGATTTAGTTGAACAGTTCAAGTACTTGGACTGCACAGGTCTGGAAAGCGAGAAAAGGATATGGATAACATCATGAAACGAGTAAGAGTAGCTATAGGAATGGTGAATGGGGTACTAAGAAGTCGGAAAATGTGTAAGAACGAAAAAGGCTATTGTAAGAACTATTACTGAAAGTATTTAATCTATGGTTGAGAGAGTTGGCCCCTACCAAACGTGTGAACCAGAAATTTTGTGCAGTAGAAATGGATGGACTTCGAACGAGCTGCCGAATTTCTACAATGCAGAAAATTAGAAACGTAGAGATCAGGGAACGAATGCTGCAAAAGAAATCTGTTGTGGTCGGGTTAGGAAATTAAACGCTGCAATGGTATAGCGAATAATTGATGTCACGAGGCGCCGCTGGTCCTGAATACTTACCTGCAGCACACCACAAGGCAGTGACTCCTTCTATGTCATTATGTCCTTTAAAATGCAATGTTGCCTCCACTTCCAGATCAGGTTTAGGATCAGATTTCAAAATCGTGGAGAGGACTTTCTCCGAATCATTTCGGGCTGCCACAATAAGAGGCGGACATGTCCTGCTGTCAATATCAGATAATGGCTGTAATCATACAAAATCACATATTTTGCGTTACATTTTCCTGAAACAAATAGTAAAACTAGTAAAGCTGCAAAATCACATACTCGCCCCAATTATTTGTAACTGCTCCGCACTATTACATGAACTTGCCCGGCAAAATAAATTTTCCGTGCCGAGACACTAAACTTAGGATCAGTGCGTTAATTCGCCACCGCTTTACCGCTACATCTCAACAGTCACTCTGACGCCGCACTTTAGCCGAAGATTAAAAATATAATAGTTTCCCACATTATTTCCAACAATTTTTTCAATTTTCCAAAATTCAGAGCGTTCATGGAAAATGAGACCAGCGCCGTTCATTTTAGCTTCCCTTCTCTTATTCGATAGTGGGAAATGCCAAGAAAAAATTGGTGCGGGTTTTGAGAAAATGTTTTTTTATATAAATTGCAAACACATATTACCCCAAAATTAAAGTTTCTTTCTTTTCAAAAATTTGTATATGACCTTTGGTAAAGATTTTGTTTTAGAACAGATTTTTTTAAAAGATAAAGATCTCCATTTTCAATTTTAGTTCTTTAATGTTAACTTGTTACAATTTTCAAAAATAGAAACAGATGGAAATGAGAATGGCATCACTTTTTTCACCGTTTTAAGATACACACGAGAGGAAACATTAAAAAAAAAAAAAAAGGAATTACTCGCACAAAATTACGCGAAAACTAATGATTTTTGAAATTTCACATGACCTTTTTTTTTAAGATGTCTATAAAGAACATTTGTTTTTTTTAATCTCGATCTTTATTATTGTAGTTATGATAAGGCGGCGAAAAAAATTGTACTTTTGCAATTTTTGAAAAATTAGTAAATTAAAGGAAAATGAGACCTGCCTAATTCTTTTACGCGTCAATTATGCTATTAGAGGACAAAGTTTAATCAACAAATATGGAGCCCATTTGAGAAAATTTTTAAAGTTTTGGTACTTAACGTAAAGCATCCCAAAATCAAAATTTCCATTTCAAACTCAGAGGGCCATGGATTGTGTTAAATCGAGTAGAAGAATACCAATATTGGAGAAAATCTGAAGTTTTGACGCGAGCGTTGATCAAACGGACAGACAAATGGTCGGACAGAATGCCTTTTCACAATCACTTTTTCGGTACCAAGGACCTGGAAATACGAATTTTGACTACACAACGTATTACGAGTAATTTCCTACATATTAAGGTGCGTAAAAATTAAAATTCAAAGACTAAGCAAAAAAAGTAAGTGTTCGATTGTTCGATGCAAAAACATTGGCACTAATGAGTTTTTAAAATCGGTTTAGGGCTGACACACCCTATAAACACCTCAATTATTCGCTACTTATTTGACAAAATGACAAATATTATGTAATGGCACTTTTATTAAAGGCTTTTGGCCGAGGTGGTCCCCACGGTACGAACAACAATATTACCATCATCAAATATTACTTGTCTCAATGTACCACATTATTCCGAATATGGTCAATTTAACGTTAAAACAATTGAAATAAGCCTATTTTAAATGTCTATATCTGTACATTTGCAACATCTAGCCTAACCTCCGGGGAAAGCGCCCGTTTTCATCCACCATCCCCTGATGTTACCCGCGTAACGGCCGAAGTTGACCGCACGAAACTATTCTCGTTCAGAACCGATATTCTAATTGTCAAAAGAACGTGAAAATTTGACTATATGCCTTATAGATTATGCAATATGTACTGGCAAATTCTCAAAAATAACCCAAAGTCAGACGTCGGGAGTGTTGTGTGACAGGGATATCTTTCATGTTACAGTTAATATTGAAAACTGAAAGGTGCAGAAAAAATACTTCCTTTAATCGCAGCAATAAAATCTTGACTGTTACTTCGCCGGCTGCTACTGTCGACCGATTTTCTTCAGTCGTTCGAGAGGCGTTGCAAGCCGTATACGCAACCATCGTTCCCGCGCCCGTGAATTGTCCTCGCACCGCACAACAGCCAACTGAGGCGTCTTTGTCGGGGCAATAAATCACAGACGTGAACGGTTTGCAATTTATCGAGTATTTATTTTAACTATGCCCCAACACCTGAATACTATTTACAACAATTACAACAAACAATATTGACCCATTACTAGAAGGAATGTTTCCTGGTTACCACCACCGCTGGCCTGATAATTTGATATCTTATTCGGTGTGATGCACCAGATGCCGGCGTGAGCATAAAAGCGTGTATACCGCACCTCCCGTCTCGACGTAGCACGCCGGCTTCACTTCCCTGCCTCAGTAGCCTATGCATTAAAATGTAGCGCCGCGCACAACCCACACGACTTCCTAACGACGCGCCTAAGAATCAGAAGGAGGAGTTTAGGTCCGGGGTCCGTTTATATTACCTTCTGGGTCGGCTGACGGAACTGCGTCATCTCGCTGTTTCCGCCGACGCGTTTCCGCCTGTCTACGGGGTTCACAAGTGGCCACCCACGACAAGGCACCCCTTCCCTTCCGTTCCCTAGGTTTGCCATCGTTCAGCCCGGCGCCCCTTCCCGCCAGCGGTGCCCGCTGTCGCAAACTACTTCCTCGTGTACTTCATGTGCATGAAATGCACGTGGCTAATATTTTGTCACGTTTGTACAAGGCGACTGATATGACGCCACACAACCACTGACGCCGCTCGGACGAATTGAGGGGCGAAGGAGGGGGACGCTTTCCTCGCCTTTTCAACTGCCAGATATTCAACGCAGTGGTCAGGACACTAACCAAGCTACTTTTGAGAAGCCATTTGTTTCGTAAGAAAACCGTCACAATGGTTCCATTTACCTTCTTTGGTTCAACTGCCAGATTTTGAACGCACATTACAGGAAAGTAACCAAGCTAGTTTTAATGAGCCATTTCATTCGCAAGGAAACTGTCACAACGATCTCAAATAACCTCGTCGGTACGTGTATTCCAAATTCAAAAGGGATTCCAGTGCTGAAGGCAGAACTTCTACCCCATACGTCACTCAGTAATTTTTACGTTAAATAAATACCTTTGCAAATAAAAAAAAAACTCCATTTGCAAGAGTTTGTTAACAAAAAACTTACACAAACAGAATGAGTAATTTCGGGCGGTAAAAAAATACATTACTGTATTCCCCTCTATTTTTCGAAACAAATTTTCCTCTGGTACTTTGTAGACGTGTATCGTTTCTACACAGAGATTCTTGATTTCTTGTCTTATGTAACACTGAAAAGATTGCGCTTTTAATGCATCAATGCTTATAAAGTAGGTCTATTTAATGACGAAGGAAAGTCTGCTCTTTTCAGATAAGAAAAAAAACAACACAAATTTGTGAACTGACAGAACTGGGGTGCAAATCATAACATGGCTTTATCGCGCGCGGTCGTGCGATCGCTAGCGATTTTAGACTGCGGGACGTTCGAATTCCTGTGCAACTCCCTCTTTAGAAATGACGCTAACGAGCTGCCGAGTCTACAACAAAACTTCGAGTCTCTAAAATCTGCTTTGCATTTCTGTGATATACAGGCTGCGACGCAACCGAAAAAATACAAAAATAGTAGGTACGAGAATTTACGATTCTCAGCCCAAATCGGCAAAGGAATTATTTAATGAATAGTAGAGTAATTAATACGATGATGCACACCCTGATGGGTTTTTACTACCTGAAATGACCAACGTGAATTGATTGATAGTGATATCTGGTGCGTCAACTAGGGGGGGGGTATTAGTACCGTAAGTATAGTGCATGTTTTTGCTTGCACGGTGGCCTTCCCTGCTTATGGCGAGATCCGGCGCCGACCTACCAACGGCTAGCGGTGTTATCCACAACCAGATACCTCCCACAAGCGGGGCAGCGCCGCAGCCGGGACAAGCTCTAAGCTCCCGACATGTAGTGTAGTACAAGTTAGAGTAGGCGTGTGTAAGGGGTGAAGGAAGGAATACGTAGTTCAGTTTGCGCACGATCAGTAATGGTCCGTTTGTAATGGTACTGCTCCGGCATTCGCCTACTGTTGATTGGAGAAACAACGGAAAACTACCACCCGGGCGAAATAAATTACGTTTGAGGTAGACGTATTTTTCGCTTCAACACTGAACGCAAACATCCTTAAAATTGTCCGCAACTACGTCCGTCCCCTACTCCAATGGGCATTTACGTCACTACGCTCGTCTCAAATTCTCAACGAAGTGAAATTGAAACGGGCGAACAGCAAATATCGAGTTGCATTGGACATTTCCGGGAAAAAAGTCTATATCAAATTCCACAGAAAGTATGATCATTTTCCAACAGTACTGGTAACACGCAGTTTTGGTCACTGAAGTAATATTGTTCGTTACTATTCATGTAATTTAGTTGATTAAAAATATTTAGAATTATACATTTCTAGTAGTTTTAGATAAAATATTTATTCACATTTGATCACACTTCCAGTGATTACTTTCGAAATATCGTGGCCATTCGTAAGAGTGTTTAAGGGGTTACATACATCGCTATGATACACAAGCTAGTTGTACAACTTATAGAAGTCTTTCGCCAAGATGCTGCTCATTAAAAATATATTCAACAGCTATATTTAGTTGTACAGTACTTTCTTCTAACCCGATCATTTCGTGTTTTCAAAAATGATGAATTTAATAATTCCTTTAATGTCTTTTCTTCCTATTAATCAAATATTACTGCATGATGTGGCTTATTTGCCATTTAGTAGCAATGCAAATAACCTCTAGAACTGGAGTATGCCACTGCAGGGGTTTAATCATGTAAGCAATTTAATTAGTTTGTACCATCGTATCGTGGGGGCACGTGTCCTCTTCCCCAAATAACTTTTGGGTGTATATGGAGGTGTACTTCTACATTTAAGGGTGTTCTTCGGCATTCTCAACCATGTGTTTTGAGCCCCCCTAAAGTTCCTAGTGATGCCCACGCTCCGATCATGTTCAAAACTGAGACGTTCCCATAAACGTGAACATTGAAAAATAACTATCCCCCAATTGTGGCAAAAAGAAAACGTTAATCATGATAAATT